AAAATGGGTCAAAAAGTTGATTTTGGGGTGTCTTTTGGGGGGGGAAATGATGAAATTTGGTGTTTGCCTTGGTCAAAACCCCCTAAAAATGGGTTAAAATCCCTCAAAAAGGGGATTTATTATTTTTTAATCAGATATTTATTAATTCAAACTGAGTTAATGATCATTTCCCCCCCTCAATGTATCCATTTCATCATTAATAGCCATTAATTATTAAGCAGGGACTTGAGGAAAAGGATTTTTTGGTGCATTTTTATGAGTTTAATTGATTTTTTTCTCCCAATTTAACCAAGAATTGGACAAAATCCCCCCATTAATTAGTATTTTGTAATTAATAATTGATAATTACTGCAGGGGGTGAAGCTAAAAGGGGTCATTTTGGGTTGAAAAACTGGGTTTTCAAGGCAGAGTTGAGGGGAAATGAGAGATATTAATATTATTAATGCTAATATTCCTATTAATTGGCATTTATTAACATTAATAGGCATTAATTTTTAATTAAATGATTATTTTAATATGTCATCGAGTATATTCCTGTCTTTGAATTATAAACCCACTTATTTCCCATCAATTAATATTAATATAATTAATTAATAATATCAATAGGCAGAAATAAATCTTGAAAACCCCATAAAATAGACAAAATAGCCTCAATTAATTAATCAATAATTAAAAATGAACCTCTCATACATCAACAAGAGGCCAAAGGTGTAAAAATAACCCCTCAATTAATTAAATCTGGAGATGAAGTTGATTAAGTAGAGCTATTAATTGAGTAAAAGGGCCAAAATAAAGAGATAAAAGGCAAAATAGATCAATTAATCAATTAATATATTAAAAGATTAATGGAAGAGGGATTAAAATGGGAAAAATAATGATATAAATTGAAGAGATATTAAAAATAAGACCTAATTATCTAATTAAGGAAAGAATTCGGTATTAATTAATGTATTACTTAGTGTATTGATTGATCTATTAATTCTTCTATTAATTCCTCTATTAATTTCTCTATCAATGCCTCTGTGCTAAATTAATTGCTAAATTAATTCCTACAGTAATCAATATATCAAATACATTTATTAATTTCCTTATGAATCTATTAATTGCTATTTTAATCCCTAAGTTATTTATTAATTAATAGCTTACATTAATGAATTAATTCCTCTATTAATCCCTCTACTATTTCCCCTATTAATCCCTGTATCAATCAATGGATTTAATTGATGTATTAATATCTCAATTATTTTCTCTATTAATCCCGACATTAATTAAGATAACATTGATAAATTGTTATAGTATTAATCTATTAATTGATCTATTAATCCCAATTTTAATCATCAGATCATCAATACTTAATAATACCAATTATATATTAAATTTAATATCCCACACACCTATTAATTAATTAACCGTTATCAAGCTCTAATAGTATCAATTAAATATTATTAAATTAAATCCCACCTCTCTTATAATGTATTAATTAATTAACCATTATCAGGATTTAATAAGATCAACTAAATATTAATTAATTGCATCTTGCATCCTAAATAATTAGAAATTAATTAACCGTTATCAGGACTTAATTAAACGTTATTAAATAGTATTAAATGATGAATTAATTACATGTTATCAGGTTTAAATAATCTTAATGTTATTAAACTATATCACTAATTAATTAAACGTTATTAAGGTTTAATAACATTAATTATCAATCAAATGTCCTCAAGCAATTAGTGAATTAAATCTGATCCATGTTTAATAATATTAATAACTCCATCATTATTCCCACTATCTAATCGCTAATATTTCGCTATTAATTAATTAATTCATCAATTAATCAAACCCCGAGACCCTCAAATATTCAATTATTTGATAAAACGACCCAAAAAAATCCAATTTGGGGCCTTTTTTCCCCCCTCAAACCTCCAAGAAACCATGAAAATAGCAAAAATAAGAATTAATAATTACTAATAAAGGGGTTTGAGGGCTTCAAAATGGCGCCCGGTGCAGGTGGGAGGTTGTTTTTCAACCCAAAATTGCCCAAAATAACCTGGTTTTGGTTTCAAAACCACCAAAAAACGAGAAGTGGGTTTTTTTGGGGCCGTTTTTGCCCCGTTTCCTCTTTCTACTTAATAAACAACTATTAATAATTAGATAGAATTGACGGGGCTTGAAAACTTGCAGGTGTTTTTTTGGGGAAAAAAAGGCTTTTTCAGGGGAAGGAGCAATTTTTGGGGTGAATTCAGGAGGTTTGGGGTGAATTCCTGAGAAGGAATAGGCAGAATATTAATTATTAGTCGCTAATAAATGACTAGGTGTTAATTGGGAGTCGTTTTGAGGACCTGAGTTTATTATTAATTGGTATTTGGGGGAATTAATTGTAGGAAATATTAATTTGTATCAATTTGGGGGAGTTTGAGGGTTGAATTAATAGATGTATTAGATTTATTTGGATTAATAACTGGATTGTAGGGGGTTTATTTGTGTGATTAATAGATTAAATTGATTGGTTAATAGATGTAATAGATTGATTAATAGATTTAATTGATTGGTTAATAGATGTAATAGATTGATAGATTTAATGGGCCTATTAATAGATTTAATGGGTTTATTAATTATTTAATTGATTTATTAATGATCTAATTGATTTATTAATAGATTTAATTGATTGATTAATAGATTTAATGGGTTTATTAATTATTTGATAGATTTAATAGTAATGTTAATAGATTTTATAGGTTGAATTAATTGAATTAATAGATTTCATGCATTTAATTAATTGATTAATAGACTTAATAGACCTAATAGATTTAATTAATTGAATTAATAGAGTTAATGGATTGATTAAATAGACTTATTAGTGTAATTAATCGGTTTAATAGGCTTGATAATTTATTTAATACACTTAATAGAATTAATTAATCAGCTTAACAAACTTAATATAATTAATTAATCAGGTTAATAGACTTAATAGAATACACTTAATATAATTACTTAATCGGTTTAATAGATTTGATAATTTATTTGATACACTTAATAGGTTTAATTAATTGAATTAATAGACTTAATAGATTGAATTAATAGACCTAATAGATTGAATCGCTTCAATTAATCATTGATTTATTAGGACTTAATGGATTTAATTAATCGAATTAATCGAATTAATAGATCGATTATTAGGCTTAATAGATTGAATTAATAGCGGACTTAATAGGATTAATTAATCGATTTATTAGATTGAATTGATGGACTTAATAGATTTAATAGACCAGTTAGGGGGCAGCCCATACTGGTCCATACTGGTCTGCACTGCTCTGTACTGGTCCGTATTGGTCCATACTGGTCCGTACTGGTCTGTACTGGTTTATACTGGTACCGGTCCAGCAGACCCAGCTATGGGGCAGCTGTGAGGTGCTGTACTAGTCTGTACTGGTCCGTACTGGTCTGTACTGGTTTATACTGGTACTGGTTCTGTAGGAGTAGCTATGGGGCAGCTGTGAGGTGCTGTACTAGTCTGTACTGGTCCGTACTGGTCTGTACTGGTTTATACTGGTACCGGTCCAGCAGACACAGCTATGGGGCTGCTGTAGGGGGAGGTACTGGTCCATACTGGTCTGTACTGGTTTATACTGGTACCGGTCCAGCAGACACAGCTATGGGGCTGCTGTAGGGGGAGGTACTGGTCCATACTGGTCTGTACTGGTTTACACTGGTACTGGTCCAGCAGACCCAGCTATGGGGCGGCTGTGGAGGGAGGTACTGGTCCATACTGGTCTATACTGGTTTATACTGGTACTGGTGCTGTAGGAGTAGGTATGGGGCAGCTGGGGGGTGCTGTACCGGGCCATACTGGTCTGTACTGGTTTATACTGGTTCTGTAGGAGTAGCTATGGGGAAGCTATAGGGTGGTGTGGGGTTCTGTACTGGTCCATACTGGTATGTACTGGTCTGTACTGGTTTATACTGGTACTGGTTCTGTAGGAGTAGGTATGGGGTAGCTGTGGGGTGCTGTACTGGTCCATACTGGTCTGTACTGGTCCTGCAGATGCAGCTATAGGGCAGCTGTGGGTACCGGTACGGTCCCAGTATGGGGCAGCTCATACTGGTCCTGTACTGGTCCTGTACTGGTCCTGTAGGTGTAGCTGTGGGGTGCTGTACTGGTCCGTACTGGTCCATACTGGCTTATACTGGGATTGGCTCCATAGAAGCAGCTATGGGGCAGCTGTGGGTACTGGTACAGTCCCAGTATGGGGCAGCTCATACTGGTCCTGTACTGGTCCTGCAGATGCAGCTATGGGGAGCTGGTATTGGTTTATACTGGTCTATACTGGTTTATGCTGGTCCTGGTCCTGAAGGAGTGGATATGGGGCAGCTGTGGGGTGCTGTACTGGTTTATACTGGTCTGTACTGGTAGTGGTCCCACAGAAGTGGTTACGGGACAGCTGTGGGGTGCTGTACTGGTCCATACTGGTCTGTACTGGTCCGTACTGGTTCTGCAGACACAGCTATGGGGCAGCTGTGGGTGCCGGTACAGTCCCAGTATGGGGCAGCTCATACTGGTCCTGTACTGGTCCTGTAGGTGTAGCTATGGGTCAGCTGTGGGGTGTTGTACTGGTCTGTACTGGTTTATACTGGGATTGGTTCCACAGAAGCAGCTATAGGGCATCTGTGGGTGCTGGTACGGTCCCAGTATGGGGCAGCTCGTACTGGTCCTGTACTGGCATTACTGGTTTATACTGGTCTTTGCTCAGCCACTGGTGGGTTAGGCCTCAAAATGGCGGGTTAGGCCTCAAAATGGCGGATTTGGGTAAAAAATGGCGGATTAGGCCCCAAAATTCGGAGATTTGGGCCTCAAAAAGGTGGATTTGGGCCCAAAAATTGAGGGATGTGGGCCCTAAAATGGCGGATTTTGTGCTTAAAATGGCGGATTTGGAACCAAAATGGCGGGTTAGGCCTCAAAATGGCGGATTTGGAACCAAAATGGCGGATTTGAGCCTAAAATGACGGGTTTGGGTCCAAAAATCATTGGTTTGGGCCCCAAAATGGTTGGATTAGGCTCCAAAATTGGGGGATTTGGGCCCAAAATGGAGGGTTAGGCCTCAAAATGGCGGATTCGGGCATAAAATGGCGGATTTGGTGCCTAAAATGGCGGATTTGGGCCTAAAATGGCGGATTTGGTGCCTAAAATGGCGGATTTGGTGCCTAAAATGGTGGATTTGGGCCCAAAAATGTCGGTTTATGCCAAAAAAGAGTCACTTTAGGCCCCAAAAATGTCCATTTTCTGCCCTAAAAGTGTCAATTTTCACCCCAAAAGCCTCAATTTCCCCAAAAAAAATTTGCCTGTTGATTCTTCCCCCCAAAACCATCAATTTTTACCTCACAAAAACATCAATTTCCCAAAAATTTGCCTGTTGATTCTTCCCCCCAAAACCATCAATTTTTACCTCACAAAAACATCAATTTCCCCAAAAAAGCATCAATTCCCCTCAAAAATCCCCCCTTTTTTTCCCTCCGATAGACAGAAAAACCCTCAAAAATCACCAATTTCCCCCCAAAAAAACCTCTTTTTTTTCCCCAAAACCCCTCAATCCCCCCAAAAAAATTCAACTCTATTTTTTCCCCAAAAACCATCAATTTTTACCTCACAAAAACATCAATTTCCCCAAAAAACCATCAATTCCCCTCAAAAATCCCCCCTTTTTTTCCTTCCGAAAGAGCCAAAAACCCTCCAAAAATCACCATTTTTTTTCCCAAAACCCTCTTTTTTTTCCCCCAAAACCCCTCAATCCCCCCCAAAAATTTACCTGTTGATTCTTCCCCCCAAAACCATCAATTTTTACCTCACAAAAACATCAATTTCCCCAAAAAAACATCAATTCCCCTCAAAAATCCCCCTTTTTTCCTTCCGCAAGAGCCAAAAACCCTCCAAAAATCACCAATTTCCCCCCCAAAAAAACCTCTTTTTTTTCCCCAAAACCCCTCAATCCCCTCCAAAAAATTCAACTCTTTATTTTTTCCCCAAAAACCATCAATTTTTACCTCACAAAAACATCAATTTCCCCAAAAAACCATCAATTCCCCTCAAAAATCCCCCCTTTTTTTCCTTCCGAAAGAGCCAAAAACCCTCCAAAAATCACCATTTTTTTTCCCAAAACCCTCTTTTTTTTCCCCCAAAACCCCTCAATCCCCCTCACCTTCCTCCACGAATCCGGATCCAACAACCCCCTAGGAATCGTGTCAAACTGTGACAAAATTCCATTCCACCCCTACTTCTCCACAAAAGACC